GGCCCCTAGTAGGTCTCAAAGAGTTAGAAAATCAGCTATTTCTGCTGATTATGAAGTGTATAACACTAAGGAATTTCAAATGGAGGATGATCCCACCTCATTTGAAGAAGCCATGAGAAGTGATCATTCATCAAAGTGGCTTGAGGCCATGGAAGATGAAATGAAATCGATGAATGTAAATAAAGTTTGGGATTTGGAAATAATTCCTAAAGGAGTCAAAACAGTAGGCTGTAAATGGGTCTACAAGACTAAACATGACTCTCAAGGAAATATAGAGACATATAAAGTGTGACTTGTGGCAAAAGGCTTTATGCAAAAAGAAGGGATTGATTACAATGAGACCTTTTCTTCAGTCTTATATAAAGTTTCCTTCAGAATCATAATGGCATTAGTGGCACATTACGATTAAGAATTACATCATATGGATGTAAAGACGACATTTCTCAACAGAGACTTGGAGGAAAATGTTTACATAGCACAACCGAAATGGTTTTGTCATGGAAGTAAAAGAATGAATATGATGCCGCCTAAAGAAATCCATTTATGGATTAAAACAAGCTTCAAGACAGTGGTACTTGAAGTTTGATCAGACAATAGAGAATTTTGGGTTTTAAAAGAGAATGTAGAGGACAATTGAGTCTATGCAAAGTTTAAGAATGAGAAGTTTATCTTTCTTGTCCTGTATGTAGATGATATCTTACTTGCTAGTAGTGATGCCAGTCTACTATAGGAGACAAAAAAGTTTTGTCCTCAAAACTTGATATGAAAGATCTTGATGAAGCCTCGTACGTTCTAGGGATCGAGATTCATCAAGATAGAAGAAAAATGGTATAATGACTGTCACAAAGGCATACATGGAAAAGATCTTAAAGAAATTCAGTATGCACAAATATAATCCCTCACCTACTCCTATAGTCAAGGGCGATAGATATGGGGATTTTAAATGCCCCAGGAACCAATATGAGCTCAATCGATAAAGTAAAAGTGGTTCCATATGCTTCAGCTGTCGGAAGCTTGCAACATGCTCAAGTATGTACGCGCCCTGACTTGGTATTTGTTACCGGGTTTTACTTGGCAGATTCCAGAGCAATTCTGGAATAGAACATTGAAATTAGTAAAGAAAGTTTTGTATTATTTGCAAGGAACGAAAGGCCTCATGATAACATATAGAAGATCTGATTCACTCCACATGGTGGGATATTCAGATTCTGATTATGCGAGAGTGAATGCATATCCAGACGTGGATTTTCTATCATCTCGCAAAGGGGAGCTATTTCATGAAAAAGCTCAAAGTAAACTGTCACTACATCGTCCACAATGTATGACAGTTTGTAGCGTGTTATGAGGCAACGGGCAGGTGAACTGACTAAAGAAGTTCATACCCGGTTTGAAGGTGATTGACGACATCTATAGACCACTAAAGTTATACTGCGATTATGTTCTGGCAATACAGTATGCTCACAACATAAGTCAAGTGGTGCTGCCGAACATATTGACATAGAGTATTATGTTGTGAAAGATAAAGTCCGAGATCAAGTCATAAGTCTTGAGCATACAAGTAAAGAAAGGATGCTCGCGGATCCGCTTACAAAAGGCTTACCACCCAACATGTTCAGAGAATATGGTGTTCAGAGAACATGTAGCTAGCATAGGTTTAAGGGAAAGCCTAAAATTTCTGGACAAAAGAAGGCTCAAAGATAAGTATCTATTTCAGAACAGAGTAGTGAGTTGTAGCTGTTAAGTCTATCGGCAATGGACCGTGACGATGAGACGTGCTCTATGAGCTAATCTGTAATGGAATGAACAAAAGTAAATGATATGAAAGTGAAAGGTGGAATGAGATTAAGGGGGAGAATGTTAGTTGATCTCCACCAATAGGCCCAACGGCCTATTGGGCCCTTGCCTCTGCTCTCTGATCGGGGGAGCCCAACCCTAACTGGTTGGTGGGCCCCTGTCGCACAGCACATACAAATAGAGAAGGTGGGGATCGGGACTCGAAAGACGAGGTTCATAGGAGCCGCCACCCACTCATCAGAGAAACCCTAAACCAATCTAAAGACCGTGCTGCCAGCGATGGGATGTGCCCCACCACCACCATCGCACCTCTGCAGGGTCTCCACAGCGCTACTGGTGATCGTCTCCACCGCGCTGGACGGCTGCTACGCCGACGGCACCGGCATCTCCCCGCTGCGGTGCATCTACTGAGAAGGCGAGGAGCCTTTACCGGATCTACAGGTTACGATTACACAGAGAGATACCAATCCTACGATCGTGACAATTTTGGGTGCCCATGCCATGCCGTCGCAGAGTAGCATGGCCTGTTTGAGTTATTTTGGAGCGAAGCCATCTTGTGAGGCTGAACCTGATCGAACGGTACCTGCAGCACGTGCCGCTAGCATAGCATGGTTATCGAATTCAGACTGAATTCACATTTTTTTATATATAAAAATATCTGTACGTATGCGTGAATTCGCTTTGGTGTAGTGTAGCGTGCGTGCAGTGTGGAGTCCCGAGTAGAGGCTGCCAACGGCTGGTGTGCGTTCGCCAGGTCCGTGCTCTGCTCCGGATTTGGGAGGCGCTGAGGCTGAAACGCCTTGGGAATATTGGGACGCCGCCTCTCGGTGCGGTGCTGCGGCGACCAACGCTTGTGCTTATAAGCCGTACTTTTTAGTTAATAAATAGTATTTTTTCTCATAATAAATCAGTTAACAGTATTTTTAGTCATGGCTTATCAGTCAACCCAACAGGACACAAGACTGAAGTCAACCGGCGCCGTCGCTGATGCTCTGGGATTCCCTTACGCGTACTCCCAAATGGCTAAATCCCAATAATTACATGCAGATGCAGCTGCATCGCCGCGAGGCCTGTAAAGTAATCAGGGAATAAGTAAAGAGCATATATACACTGTAAAATGGGGGAAGAGGAACTGCAGTTGCAGTTTCATCCCAGCAGCAGCAGGGCGACAAGTGCAAGCAGCCCACGCAGCGAGTGGTCTTCACGCACTGCCCGGACCCAGAGTCTGTCTCGAGTCTTGACTAAGCCCACTGGTCACACAGCTCCAACGCGAAATCTCGAATGCAGGAAGCAGATAGTTTCTTCTGATCTCTCGCATGCATCATGCGATGACGCATCAATTAATGCGTCCTCCTCTCGTCTGTCTGGACGAGCTCATGCATGTTGTTCATTTGAAATTTGGATTTGCCAGGCCCGGAGCGGAGGCAATGCATGCGCGTCACGAATTGCTCCGTGATTCCACCAATTCGCAAGTTCCAACCGCCCGTCGATATCGATTCGCTTCTTCTAGCTAGGATGTGTTATTTCCTTGTGTTCCTAAACTACTGCTACTGCCTAGTACATCTGGAGCCCCTTGAGCTTGACTCGACACAGGAGGACTGGACGGTCAAGTCCGTGTATCCATGCGTCTCAACTCTCAAGCGGCAGGAATCTAGTGTAGGAGATAGCGACTTGTTGTAGGTAAACGACGACTCGATATGATGCTTCCGACGGGATCAGAGAAAGTCACCTGATAATTTCCTCTGCCAGTGGATAACGAAAACGACACGTACCCGCAAGAACGGTATTTGCCAGCGCATGCATGGATTCCAAGTTTGGTGGAGGGGAGGCTATGCCACCACAATCGCCTCTGGGTTGTGCCAGCCTTTACGCCTAGCTCTACCACTTCTACCACCCTTAACAACTGCAGCTAAACTTTCAATCAAAAACTGCAAGCCCTCTAATTAAACTTGCATCTGCAGCAGCAGCTGCGTCGTCCCGGCGGGGCCGGGCCACAAGAGCAAGCAGCCTAGCAGTGGTCTTGAGACGGAGTTGACCAACGGGGAGACCCCGTCGTGGACTGCCCAAACGCATTTGCATCCTCCTCGTCTGGACGTGTTGATTTGAGATGTGAAAATTTGCCAAGTCCGGCCGGAGGCGAGGAGGCAAATGGGTATGCATGCGGCGGTTGGCGTCGCGTGTTACTACTCCGTGGTTTCGTTCGCGCGCGCGCCGATATGCGTGGTGTCAGTCAATTCAACCCCCGGTCGCCGATATGCGGCGGATGTGTTTTCTTTCTCTTTGTAAATAAACTACTCCCAACTCTAGAATTTCTCTGCAACTTTAGTTCGGTTTGGTTTTGATGGGGGCAGAGGGCAGGTCGCCGACAAACGCAACGACGCAACAACGTCGCGTCGATCGGGCAGTGGAAAATGACCTGAGAGGGCGTTAGACGGCCGTGCCGGTAATTCTTTAGTTAGTGAGATGAGAGATCGATATGACTAATGGTCCGACGACCCGTAGGGCTAGCTAACGACACTACTGACTGGACCAGAGGAGGCCGGTAAGCTGGGCAGGCTGCCACGACTCGCAACCGAACTCGCGCGCGCCGTCAATGGAAAACGCGTCGGCGTCGGCTTATGCCATCCACCGTCTGTCTACTCTGTAAAAAGCAGCAGCAGAAAGTACGGCGCTGCCGGGAAATTTCTCACGCCGTGCGTGGCCGGTTGGATGTACGTAACCTAACCTCCCGTCCCGCACGCTGTTTCTTGTCTGTCTTGGTACCAAAGGAAAGAGTGATAGATTGTTACACCTTACAAACAAGCAACCCAAGTCGTCTTGCGCGGATTAGATTAGAAACCCATCGATAGGGGAAAAGCACATATAAGAAGGAAGACGACGAGGGAGTAAAATAGACAGGCAGGCGCAACGCAACAAAGCTCTACGAGTAAAGTTTGCATATATTCCTAGTGGATTTGCTGGGAACTTGCTCTACGTTTGCCGCCCATATGCCCAACACCAGCTGCACCTGCATCGTCCAAGGTGAAGTCTCCCTGGCCTCCATATATATGTAGTCATGTAGATGCATGTCGTCAAAGCAGCCACAGCCCGCAGGTCACCAATGCAGATGCAATCCAAGGAGTACGTCTAGCTAGACGATCTCTTCGTTCCACGGCAACAGTCAAGTCGTAAGGGGAGCTGTGCTGCAAGCTTGCAGATCGTCGAGCATGTTGGAGCCGGTGCTGGACCTCCTCGTCCACGGCTGCCTCATCGTGTCGGTGTCATCTTTCCTGATCATGCTCGCGCTCCAGCCTCTGCTGCCCGGCGGCAACGTGGCCACGGCCGCGAGCAGGGGCGTATGCTCCGCGTCGCGGGCCGTCCTCGTGCGCCTCCTGTCCGGCCGGAGCGACGACGACAGCGGCGGCGGCGTGGATGTGGCGCCTCCTCCTCCTCCTCCTCCTCCGCGTCGGAGTCGGAGCAGCCGGCATTGTTGCGAGCGGTGCGCGTCGTCGTCGTGGCCGGACGTCGTGGCGGCCGTGACGGCGAGCCTGCGCCTGGACGACGACGACGACGACATGGAGTGCTCCAACTCCTCCTCCGGCGACGAGAACGCGGAGGAGGACACTGCGGCGGCGTGCGGCGGGTGCGCGGCGACGGCGGCGGTGGAGGATCTCCTGGAGCGCAAGGAGGCGACGGAGCAGGAGCTGCGCGAGGCCTTCTACGTGTTCGACCGCGACGACGACGGCTTCGTGGGCGCCGGGGAGCTCTGGAACGTGCTGCGCCGCCTCGGGATGCTGCTGCCCGAGGGCGGCGGTGAGGCGCGGGAGGACTGCTGCGCCAGGATGATCGCGGCGCACGACGCCGACGGCGACGGCCGGATCAGCTTCCCCGAGTTCAGGGCCATGATGGAGCACGCGGCGTGAGCGCCGGTGCATCACCGCACAAGTGCCGTGCACTAGCTGTGTAGTTAGTAGTAGTACCTAGTAGTACTTTTTTTTAAAAAATGGCTACTATTTTACGTTCACAGACGCACTGATGTTTGATGAATAATAAGATGTTCAGATGTGAACTTTGCAATGGGAGGCCCGAATTTCCGGTTCACATTCACACCGGTGTTGGTGCTTGCTCTTTTTTTGCTCCTTGAAAAGCTTCTGTTCGGTTCCTGGTGAACCGTGACCGGGAACAAATCCAGCCAGGATTACATGTCTAATTTGTATAAGCTTCCTCCAGGGTTCCTGCCTCTGTTCCAGGCCAAACGAACGAGCCCTAAGGGGGAAGTCAGCAAGACGAAGAACCCAGCAGAGTGAAAAAACCTTGCGTTTGAGCGCCCGTGGAGCTTATTTCCGAGCTCCTGATTGACTGCTTTTTTATTATGGACCCCATGTGCATGTCACTTTTCGCAGGCAGTGAACCACATGCATGCGGCCGGCTCAGGGCGCTTGGCACGTTTGCTCTGGCTTGGCTCGTTCAGCCTGTTCACACTCACCGTCTGTAGTTGTAGTAGTACCATGTGGCCTTAAATATCCTTGCAGGCTCTATCATTCTACTACTCCCGTGTCCAAGAAGCCACACTCTGTCCTCCTGCTCATGTTTTTCTCTTATTTCGAACTCCCAGCCATGAGCCAGACACCAGCTCTTCTTGCTTCCCGCGATTGATCTGAGACTTCTCGTTCTAGTGGTCGTGGCCACCGCTTTAGGCATCATTTGCTTCGATGTGTTTGTGGTGATCTGGCTATCGTGTTACATGCTGGCACACCTCGCAACCTAATGGTCATGGCCACCGCTTTAGGCATCCTTTGCTTCGATGTGCTTGTGGTGATCTGGCTGTCGTGTTACATGCTGGCACACCTCGCAATTAAGGACGTCCTTGGTTGCGAGGTGTGCCAACATGTAACACGACAGCCAGATCACCACAAGCACATCGAAGCAAAGGATGCCTAAAGCGGTGGCCACGACCACTAGAACGAGAAATCTAAGATCAATCGCTGGAGGAAGAGCTGGTGTCTGGCTCATGGCTGGGAGTTCGAAATAAGAGGAAAACACGAGCAGAGGATAGAGTGTGGCTTCTTGGACACGAGAGTAGTAGAAGAGTAGAGCCTGCAAGGATATTTAAGGTCACACGGTACTACTACAGCTACAGGGACAAGAGAGAGACGCGCATATCCATAGAGCTGAACGAGCCGAGCTCCAATTCACAGCCGAGCCAAAGAAAATGAGCTGAGCGTGTTGAGCCGGACGTACACGCATTCAAGTGGTTCTTTGTCTGACAAAAAGTGTGCATGTATGTGGGTCCCTTGCCAAAAAGCAGCCAACAAGAGGCCTGCAATAGACTCCACGGCCGTTGATACGCAAGGTATTGCGTTTCAGAGAACCCAGGTCTCCAGTGCGGGCGTCATCGCGTGTTTGACGTGGAGCGATGATGCGGCCGTGTCGCCCTTACCACACCGCACGACGCGGCACGCACAATCTCCACTGTACGTCTTGGAAAAAAAAGATCGATCGACGCACGCACAGGACAACACAATCCTGGGCGACTTTTTGCTGCTCCTTTCCTTTTACATTTGCCGGGACGAATTGAACGAACACGTAGCTTTCTTTCCGGTTTATTTCCACGAACAAAACAAAAGCGCGCGCGCGCGCGCACAAACACTCTATGTGATGAAATCGGCGGGCGATCGATACAAACACATCAGAGCACGGGCAATACAAAACAACACCCTGACAGCCCGGCAGGGCAGATCTTCACTTCTTATTTCTTAATAATCCCCGGTCAGTGGTAATGCAGCACGTAGGCGCAAAAGGACAGCCAGCCACGGCTCATGCGCTCGTGTCTGTGCTGATGCCTGATGGAATGCGGTCGGTCGGCCGGCCGCCGGGTTGCAAGCGCATCGGTGCCGACAGCTAAAGGTTTATTCGGAAATGCTTCCAGTATAACTGGAACAATGCTTGGCTGCGACAACTACTGATTTAGAATAAAATTTAATTATTTATATAATTCCTAGAAAACTAATATTAGTGGATAGCGTGGCTTGCTGATGTGAACAACTAAATGGATGTTAGTGGATGATATGTTTCGCTGATGTGGATATCATAATTGCTTGTGCTAGTGGAGTTTAATTGTAAGTGATATTGGACTGCTGAGGTGTACACCTTGCATGTAAGATAATATTCTAGTGGAGTTTAGAATTATAAGAGATATAGATTAAATTTGATTATAAATCACGCATCCTCCAGACCATTAAATATGCATTTATAAGTTTTTTTTCGTCCAGTCGCTTTACTTAATGGGTGCCGATTGTTGAAGTTAAAAATTTCACGAGATCTACTGTATATGACTGTTTAGGGCCCCTTTGAAACACATGGATTTCACAAGAATTGTATAGAAATTTCACAGAACCGTTCATTTTTCACAGGAAAACGAAGGAATAGGAAAAAATCCCATATTCCAAATGGAGCCGGTGTGGGTTTTGTTGGTTGGATGAGGTAGGATGGAGCTGTCCATCCTAATTTCTAGGGTGTTTGGTTTGTAGACATATGCAAGCGAATACTAGATCAGTTGGTCTGGCTGTGCGCTTTGCACCCTACCGGTCAGAGTTCGAATCCCCTCAGGAGCGGATTTGTTGGTCGAAGGAGACGTAGTTTATTTGCACGCTGAAAAAATCGCCTCGTCTACCCCACGCTAAAGCACAGGTCTAAGGCCAGCCCAGTCTCACGGGAGCTACGATGCCACTGTGTATGGGTGGAGCAGAGGTTCAGAGGTTTTCTCGACCTGCGTGATAAGGTCTTAAGCAAAATGCTCGGGGATTGTTTTACCCCGTGGTCGAGTTTTTTTTATTTGTAAACATATAAAATAGAGCTAACCTTAATAATAATTCCTATAAATTTTGCCGAACTTAATAAACATTTGACTTATAGAACCACAATCTTCTTTCCAGTAACGTCTAGGGAACCAATCGTCTTAGACTTGCACCAGACTGGTCGGACCATATATATATATATACACACAGGGTACAAAATCGGAGCCGTTCGTTTGAGCTTTCGGGGAGCTTTTGGACCTTGGCATTTGAATATTTCAAAAGCCAAAAAAAAACCAGATGCTAAAAACCAAAAGACAGAAGCTCACTATAGTGAGCTTTTAGAATTTTGGCTTATGAGAGTTGTTTGGCTTTTAGAAAGTCAAAAGGCTAATAGTCTAAAAGTGATAAAAAAAACTCAAATAAACAGGACCTAGTTCAGTGTTGTGCTTGATATTCGTTAAACTTTTTGTATAGTCGTGTATAAATACTCTCTCCATTTCAAATTATAAGACATTATGTTTTTTCAACATTCATTGTTTTTACTTTATATTTAGACATAATGTATATCTAAGTATATGATAAAAGCTGTGTACCTAGATAAGTCAAAATATTTTATAATTTAAAATGTAGGGAGTAGTTATTAGTATGTACTAATGTGTTTGGTAATTCATTTAGCGCTACACTTTTTTATTTATGTGTTAGCTATAGTTTTTTTAATAGGTGTTACATTAGCTGCATTCTGTTTCCAGCTAATGTCTTGTTTGGCTGAACAACACAAGATGTTATCTCAAATTTGCAGAATAAATTGAGGTAACTGGCGGAGCTGCTGCCCCTGCTCTGCTGCTAATAACCTGTCCGCGGCCGTCGCCGCCGCCGGCCCTGGTGCCATGTCCCTCTCCTCATCCCTCCATCATTCTTGGCGCGGCAGCGGGCGGACGGGCAGTGGGCTGTGGAGGCGCCTGGCGGCGGCCGGCGAGTGGGGTGGCGGCGGCCGACGAGTGGGGTGGCAGCGAGCCACGGCGTGCGCCTAGCAATGGCAGCGGCATCCGCATCGATGCGGAATTAGGGATTCGGGAAGCTGAGCGCGAGCGTCTAACGGCGTTGGTAGATTGGGGATTTGGGGAGCTAAATTGGGCCCTTGTTGGGCACTTGGGCTAATCTAAAGTGACAAAAAAGGCCCGGTTCCCACTGCCTAGCAAAACGAACCGGCGCCATGTCGCTACTCGGTGCTCGCGGCTCGCTCTCACTCGGCACCATGTTGCGGCGGCGCAGCCTCTGCTCGGCAGCCTGAGCTAAGGAAGAAGAGGGGGTCCGGGGGGTCTGGGACGCCGCCGCCGGTAGTTGGGGCGGCTGCCCCACTGTCGATACGGGACCCATGGGGTTTCCCACGGAGAAGAGAGAAGAAGACCTAGTCCAACTAGGATTCCCTACATGTAATCCTACTAGAACTAGTTACACATAATCCTACTAGGATATCTACTTTGTAACCGACTAGGACTCCGCCTCTCCTAGACTATATAAAGGAGGTAGGGGTCCCTAGAAATATATGCAGAACTCACAACCACAACAAATAGCGCAGGCGCAATATACTATCCACCCCAGGGCGTAGGCGCTGACTTTCCGGCGTAAGATAAATCGTTGTCTCCTGCGTTTACCATAGTTTCGCAAACGCCGATACCCTCCGAACAAATCACCGCCCGGGTAGGGGTTGCGATGTAAAACATCGGACACAATGGGCGCGAAGGTAGGGGCCCTCGGCGCTTATGCTTGAGAGCTCGGTGGACCTCGTGATCAAGACTTAATACTTGCTGCGGGTCGGCCCTCGTCGACGACAAGTCGCGGCGGCTCTCATCGACCCTTACGATCAACAACGTCCGCGGCAACTCGGACTCACAAGACGACATTCTTCGTGAACCGTGACACGATTGGATTTCGAGCAGCTCGATCGCACTCTGCTCCTTACCAAATTAATTTCCTACAATCACTTACCGTCGATGGGAAGGCTTGAGTCGGACCCAAGTCGGATCGCCGGCTGTTTCGTCACCAAATCGAGATAAAGATGCGAGTATAGAACTAGAAACCAACAAGCAAGCAAGGAGTCTCACGGCGATACGACTTGATTTTTT